TTAGGACTGTTTCAGACCTTGTTTGATTTAAAGTAAAAACTGATGTTAGTTTGGTATAAAGTTTGAATATTCAATTAATATTAAACAAATTCATCATTATTCTCTTGGTTTAAAGTTTAGTGCAGAGGAAAGCCCCCCCCACCCCCCGCACCCCAACAGTTGAGGTTTAGTGGAGGACTGTTTCAAACCTTGTATTTGATTAAATTAAAAACCAAAAACAATTTGAAGTTTGAATAAAATGAATTTATTTTATAGATGTAAGGATTAAGACAATTTAAAGTTTAATTAAGACTTATGGTTTTAGACAAACTGTGCACCAGTTAGAAAAGGTGTTTTCTTGAAAGTGAATAATGGAACGAAGTGGTAGGGTTTAAACTGCATCAGTTAAAAAAGGGGTGTTCATAAAAATAAGTGGCAATTCTTTTTATTCCATATTTAAATTCTCCTTTAATCCTTGTCATTATTTATTTACATTTTATTCAAACTTTGAATTTTCTTTTAAACTTTACACCTATAAAATACTTAGTTTTTATTCAAACTTTAAACTGTTTCGGTTTCTACTTTAATCACCGGGGCTGAAACACCTGCTGGTCCCCAGTCAGTCCTATTCCCACGGGAAACCCTGATCATCGCAGAGCACTCGTCAGAACGTAGAGCACTAAAATCCACTGAAAAGTAACAGGTGTCAAATCTTTTAATTGGGGTTATAAAAATACCCAGGTGTGAAAAGAGGAGGCAATAAAACTATCACCCTTTGATCTGAGCATAAATCTGATGGGTGCCATAAATCATGGGGGTGTTGCCTAGCAACTGAGTTGGCAGACGTGGCCTGGTTCAGACTACATGTTTGTTTTTGTCTGTCACGACAGTCACTGTCAGAGTACACAGTTATAGAGGGGACGAGGGATATGACTGGTACTCGACAGATCACAGCCCGATGTTGTTCATGACTTGGTGGTGCTAAGCTGCTTCACTGTGTTAGCATTAGCTGCTTCACTGTGATATCCAATGAATATGGTTCACAAGAGCCACCTGTGCTCCTGTCGGCTTCATCGTACATGACGAAGAAAGATTCTGACATGATCATCTTTGTGTCAGGGCGTCGTGAGGCATCAGTTGACATTTACTATGACATACTATATGAGATGAAATGATCGCTAGTTGTCTGATCTTGTTTCTGATGCCCTACGTCTGTCATGTTGTGTTGTTATGGGGCTAAAATCGTGTCATAACGGATGTTGTGTGGGACTAAGATAATTTTACAAGAATGAAATGTTAATGCCAAGGTGTAATTAACTGTGGATTAATGCCTCTTAAACCTGTTAACTTTATTTTACATGCTCATCAGAACTGTACTAAACTAAAGTCTGAAAGTATAAAACTAACAGTGCTCGTGGTCAGTGCACGGTAGATCACTGCACTTTGACAATGGCATTAGTAATCTGTACTATACGTGTGGAAAACGAAGACAGTGAATGGGGCTCCATAGACTTTAATGCATTATAGAACTCAGACTATACATGATGATGATCAGTGTGCAATACAGAGCATTTCAAAATATGAATGACTGTATAGAAGAGCAGATATTTAAATACAGTCTGTCTATTGGATTTTTAAATCTTAACTCAAAAGTATAAAAGTTATCGATAAGAAAAGTCATAGCACCCATCTACAAAGAGTCCCGCACAGTTTGACATATCAATCGCCGTGGTAACACAAAAGCTGTAGGAAGACGTACAAACCAAAGAATCAACTTTCCACTAATTTGATATGCACATTTCTGAATATTTTAAGAAAATATCTTTATGAATATATGAACAGGATTATGTGGTTTTAAACAAGATTTGAGAGCAAAAGAGGCACAGAAGCAAAAGAAGGAGTTGCGGCGCTCTCACAGAGTCAGCACTGACCAGTCAAACACCAGAGAAACCAGTTAAAGCAACAGTTTGTAGCGCTGAGACAACAAGGCAGCTTAGTCACATTTCTATTTTTTATGCAAGCCAACAGTCCTGGCATAGGATGGGAAAAGTACTATCCAACTATCATAACTAAACGGATTCAGATGATATAATGTTTGTTGCAGACTGATGGGAAAAGTCAGAAGGTTGTTTGCTTTCATCATCCTTTCAGTACTGCGATGCTATTATTTTAGCATTTTAAACAGCTACATACTGGTCCAACAGAGGAGAATTATCATCCAGACAGATGAGTTCTGCCCAGTGAATGCACAAGACAAAGGTCAGCTCGTATCTAATGTGTGCACAGATTAGAGAGTTACTGAAGTGGTCTTGTTGCTTTGATACAGCCCAGCAAGCAGGACTAAGGCAGAGTAAGTGGGGTAATATTGAACGCCGGGGTCCAACTGCTGGTGTTGGTCAGATCATGCTGTGGGCGGCGTGGAGAGGGAAGATCTATCCAGATGGGCTGAAGGTGCTGATGTGGCCAGAGGGGCAAGCAGAGGGTCTGAGAGTTTGTATGTGGATGGGAGGCAAAGTCGAGGCTGCTTCTTCCCTTCTACTCTGGCTGGGGTTGGGGTGCTGGTGTCTCGTTGGCATTGTTGTCAGTGATCTTGTTTTCCAGCTCATCATCAGACAGGAGATCTAAGGAGGTTCCCTCGACCTGCAGCTGCCGTCTGCCTGAGCGGCTGGAGGAGAAGCTGATGGGGCCACCACGCCTGGAGGAGGGGTGGAGTTAGGGAGCGTGTTAGCAAAAGGAGACAATAAAATGATCCAATGAAATGGGATTTGAATGTTGCAATGCCAATTCTAAAATCCTGATATAAACATGTACATCCTGCTGTACTAACCCCCCCCCCACCCGACTCTGCTATTTTCTAGCCCTCTGTGGCCAGTGGAGGTCCAACCCAGGATGGGAGCAGACCTGTTGGACCCAAGAGACTGTGTTCTGTGCCACAGAACATCGGTTTGGGATGTTGGAGATGAAGGGCACTAAAAGCATCCACCGGACTAAAATTTGAAACGGATGTGACGTTCTTCCTGCATGATGTGCAAGTACGCATCATTAGCAAGCTAACATTAGCTTTTTAATTTTGTACATTTGTATTGAATTATTCTGGTTGTAATTTTCCAACTGGCACGTTTCCCTGGATTAGCAAATGAATTAATTTTGCTCAGTTTGCAAATTTCTGTTTAATATACAGGATCATATAACTCTCAAAGTACATTTTTGACTCAGTCTGAGCTCAGTGCTACGTACATTTCTCTTTAATGCAGCACCATGTTATTGGAAAGGGAAACAAAAGGATAAATTCTGAGAATCAGATCACAGATGCTTTCAGACGTACCTGAGGCGGTTCTTGAGTGTGTGGACCTCACGGCTCAGACCCTCACTGGCCTCCGTGGCGTCGTCCAGCTCTCTCTGCAGTTTCCTGCGTGACGCATTGGCTCTGGTGGCCTCCTCCTCAGCCTCCTCCAGCTGACGTTTCAGCTGCTTCATACGTGAGTTAGCCTTTTCCACCTTCACACAAATGTACAAGTTTGATCCGTTTACCTTTCTACAAAGGAGTATAAAGAGCATTTTGCAGCAGCCTTTAGCGATGGGTGTTAGCGTTGGATCCTGGCACTGATCTCCCACTGGAGTCATTTACATCAGATAAACACCAAGCGATTCTCAGAATCTTTCGATCTTAAATTTTTTCAAGGAGTGAGCAACACTACGGCAGCACGTTACATTCACCAAAGGGGAAAAAAAATGATCTTAAGCTGTAATTATTGATCTTTTCTCATAATTATGAGAACTTTTTCCTGTAATCCTGTGATAATGCTGGGGTTGGAATGCTGCCTGAAAATCACCAGGTTTTAATTCTTTAGTATCAAAGTCAGTGTAGTGATAGCCTACTTCCTTTTTCATGTTAAAGTTTCTGTCCACATGAGTGATGACTTAACATTTACTGCTTTGTCATAATTATGAGATCCAGAGATCAGGATCTTGTCATATGTTAGTGCTGCTACTTAAGAAGGAGGCGTTACAGGCTGCCTGTTTAATCATTTTATCCTAGATCCTATAGGCTTATAATGAATATGAGCTCAAGCATCTATTGCAATAGTTTTGCATAGTATTCTGGAAAATGTCACATTAAAAGTTCAATCATGTGAACAGATCAAACCTTTAAGCAACAACGAGTGTAATGTTGCTATAGATGTGAGTTACTGTGCGCTGCAGCCTGGATGCTGCTTTCAGCCCATATTGGTTTATGCTGTGAAATGCGAAGTATGCCACACTTGCTATTTATTGTCTGTTCATTTCTATGTGCTGTTGTATGTACTGACAAAATTACATTAATACCCAAGGAAATCTTAGAAACCCAATGTTTCTCATGCAGGTGTGAAGCTTTCCAACTCCTGCTCAGTACATGTAGCTGAGTGAGTTACACCAGACAGCAACTTTGAGGCCCGATTGTAGCTCAGTGTACAGTACTGACGCCGAATCGGGTATTAACAGTTCATTTTTGCTATGGACTATTGATTGTACTGACAACTATCACCGAACTACTTTGATACTAAAGAATTCACTAAAACCTTATTCTGCAGCGTTTCAAGTCCTGCATCATCTAATTAGAAGAAAAACAGCCTTGATAGAGGTCAACTTCTGAACAGTACATAACATTAGAGGCTGTTAAAGGACTTTTTCAATCAGGTTTCAGTAAATCACATGCAAAAACCTTTTCAAAGTAACATTACCACCTACAACTAGAACAGATATTTAAAGGCTTGTTTTTGAGGAAAGTAAAATGAATAGACTGAGACCTGCATTTGCCAGGATGCTGCTTGTAAAGAGCCAATCAGTGATACTCACTTGTTCTTTAAACTGGTCGGCGTGGCGGCGCTCGTCCTCCACCTGCATGCACACTTCCTTCAGCTTCTTCTCGGTTCTTCTCACAATCTTGTTGGCTGCTGCTCGCTCCCTTCACCAGAGAAGGATGGAGTGTTACATGTGATCCCATAGCTGTTTTGTCTAGAAGTCGGTTCTTATTCTATATTTTAACCTTGTTTAGGATTTTTTTAACTGTTTAAGCGAGATGACTGTCGGATTAGTTTCTCACTTTGCTTCCTGCTCCAGCTGTTCCTCCAGCTGTGCTATCTTGGCCTCCAGCGCAGTGATGGAGGCCTTGAACCTGTTCTTCACAGACCCCTCCAGCTCACCCAGCTTGGCCCGAAGCTCCTTGTTCTGACGCTCCAGTTGCTGGCGAGCGTTTTCGCTCTTCTGGGCTGTGCTGCGCTCTGCACTCAGCTCTGTAGTCAGGGTGTCCACCTGATGGGAAGGACGACAACAGCAAGGGGGTGGTGGCAGATGGTAAGAAAATAAACTCTAGTTCTGTGCTGTACACCAGCAGAGAGAGTCCCACTGATCAGGGCTAGTATCGTTACAACTCTAGTTTCCATACCTGCATGGTCGTCTTTCTGAAGCGGTCGTTCAGCAGCTCCGTGTTGCCCTGTTCTTCCTCCAGCTCCTCCTCCAGCTGGGCAATACGAGCCTCCAGCCTCCTCTTCTCATCCATCAGAGCCGACCTGACAAACAGTCAGACAAACGTCACTGTTGTCAAAATGTAACGGCAGGTCCCGGCTGAAAGCAGCTACATAGACATGAATGTGATGCCTTTGCTGATAGAAACGACTGACTTTCCAGAGGTGCTGTTGGAGATTTCATCTTGCAGCTCGTCCCGTTCCTGCTCTGCATGGCGCCGGCCCCTCTCAGACGCTGCCAGGTCCTACAGAGAAGGGTCAAAGGTGAAAGACAGGTGATCAGCACTTCAGCTCATGTTGAGAGGGACCCTTCCATGCAGTGTCACAGGTCAAGTATATAGTGAACCTATCAAAAAACCAATCGACCATAAATCAGCTTCGAACAATACTAGGGCTGTCGCGATCTGATAATACGTATCGCTGTCGGCACCAATCAGCCAAACACTGCATCAGCCAGAATAAAGCAGATCAAACTCTGATCCTTATTTAGGACTACAGTCCTGTATTGCTATGTTTCCACTATCAGAACCTAAAGAGCGATACATCCCCTACTTCCCTTAACTATCACAAAGCGTTGACGCCGACCGTCCTGCATTGTTTTTCCATTCTATTTTCTCTGTCGGGCACTGTTTAGAAGAGGGAGGGGCTGCTCCTCCAGTCAGCTGTGTTTACACATGGTGCTTGTAATGTTAATGCTTAAGGTGTGAAGATGTGGACATTTAACCAATAACTGGCGACTGTGCTGCACGCACAGACCCAACAAGACTACAGTATATAATGTCCGAGCCGACACAGTTGAGTTTGTACAGTATTTTCTCCCCTTATCATTAAACAAAGCAGACCTTTGAGTGCTCCAGCCTCGAGCTTGACCTACGTGTCCAAATCCAACCCTGTCCCGGACATAATTTCTAAATTTCCGTCCAAACCCAGCCTGAATCCTCAGGTAACCGACAGGTCCTGTCAGGCTCTGTTCGAGTATCCACACTTGTGTCTGCACTGCTTGCATGTCAGCTGGCTCTCACATGTAGCTGTGTCTCTTTTTAGCTTCAGATCTGTTTTTCTGGAGCTGCGTTCTCCACAGAATCCACCAGAACACATGGTCTGTCGTCTGTTGCATCAATCCTACTGAACATGGCAGCTGTTTAAAGTGGGTGCAGTGTTTCTTTTTTTTGTTGTTTTTTGCTGCGTTTACCCTGGGGTTGGATATACTACACATACTGCCTATTGTCTCTCGGAGCTTGTAAACTACAGGTACACCTGTGGGTTTTTGTACACCAAGCACTTCCTATGTGCAAGTGAACACATGCCCGGTATAGACACGAGCGCGAGTCTCCTGCAATGTGCACACAAGATGTTTAATGCTGCACAGACTATGACTTCAGTGTAGAGATGTTTTATGCTTTGGTCCGGTGGTGCTACTGATCCAGCATTTGGATCCAAAAATGTGTGAAAAATCCAGTGTGCTAGATTAGTTTCAGTTTCAACCTGTCAGATGGATGAATGAATGAACATTTACTGTAGGTAACTATAAGTATTGGATCGTATCGGTAGATGCTTAATATGAAAAGAATCGGATCAAATCAGGGCCAGAAAACCTGAACCGGGACATCCCTGTGCAACATAACCATCACCATAACCAGTCTGAACACAGTCTAGTTTGTGAAGACTGGCACGTCCCACTGCTCTGTACCTCGTGTAGCTGTACAATCTCAGCCTCCAGACTCTTGAGTTTCTTTTCATTTTCCTTAGAAATGGCAAAAATATCATCTCTGGAGGCTCGGGCGTCCTCCAGCTCTCTCTGATAGTCCTTCATCTGGGCCTGGAGAAGACAACGTGTTAGTCAGCGGCTGCTTTCTGAGGGACTGGTATGACTGGAGAATAATTTATGAGCTGGAGCTGATTCTACCTGTAACTTGCGCAGCTGCTTGATGGCTTCATCTCGAGCTTTGTTGGCTCCTTCTATGTGGCCCTCTATATCCTTCAAATCCATCTCCAGTTTCTTCTTTGTGGCTACAGCCAGGGCTCTCTGTTTCCTCTCGTCCTCCAGCTCTGCCTCCATCTCCCGCACCTGGAAGCAGGAGCCAGTAAATCCTTAGTGTAAGAGAGTAAACTCTTGTTAAACTGTTGCCATTCAGTGTTGAAACATTATTATGCACCTGCTTGACCAGTGCCCTCTTCTTCTCATCGTTCTGGTCGTCCCGACCCTGGAGATCTCTCTCGTACTGGGCCTTCATGGCCTGCATGTTGACCTCCAGACGCAGCTTGGCATCTTCTGTGGCCTGCAGCTCGTCCTCCAGCTCCTCCAGCTGAGTCTTCATCTCCTCCAGCTGCTGCTCCAGAGTTCGCTTGGACTTCTCCAGCTCGTGGACCTGACAGGGTTGAGATCAACAGAGGGAGACTGGTGAGACCACTACTCTACTGTCATATGTGCCTGTTTGGTCCCAACACTCACGTTCTTGCCCACATCATCCTTTGAGCTCATCAGATCTTCCATTTCAGCACGGAGCTGCTTGTTAATCCTCTCCAGCTCCTCTTTGGCCTCCAGCGCCTCGTCCAGAGCTCTGGTCATGGACAGAGCTTTGGTGTCCTTCTCTCTGGCCTCAGCTTCTGCACGGTCGCGCTCTTCAGCGTACCGAGCCGAGATGCTCTTCTCCTCAGCCAGCATCTACACGGGAGAAAGTCATATTTCAGACTGGCATTTTAGGAAGATTACATTTGTGACTCCTAAAATCTGTCTCAACTGTAAAACTAAAGGATTAAATGGACGTGTTTAAAACATATCCCAGACAGACTTACAAACTCGCCCCATCTGAAATCATTTTCTATAAAAATCGAGC